GGGAAAGTGGGCCACCCCAGGGCCACCCCAGAGGTCCACTCCCCCATGGGCGGTCCCGTCGTCTTCGTCCGTCGTCCGACGTCCGACGTCCGTCCGCCCGCCGTGTTGTTTTTTCTATGATAGCTCTGCCGCGGGGATCTTCTCTCGCATGCTCTCTCAGCAGAAGGTGCCAGGCATGCAACGGCCAGCACTCGCTGGACACTGCCGCGTGAAAGGCGCTGCTACCCTGGGCTGCAGCGCCACGCAACTAAATACCCCAGCATCATTGACTTGATCTCGAGATTCAGAGCAGCTGCAGAGCTCTTAGTCACAGCAATCGACTCCTCAGATGGCACGTCCGATCCGCCCATTCCTTGCGCGGCCGTCCTTGCAGGCGTATGCCAAGCAGGATCAGGCAGGCAAGCTGGATGGAACCAGAGCGTGCACGTGAGCGGGCTGCAGCAGCACGGAGCCGAGACCGACCCGAAGCGGCCGCACCAGGATGCACAACGGCGCCATTCAGGCGTCTGGCCGCATCGGGTGATTCATTAAACATCAGCGCCTATGCTAGGAGGGCCAGGATCATGCCAGGCAGGATCGGGCAGCATCCCCGCAGCTGGCGCTCCTCAGGATCGCGGCGCCCCTCGTGCGCGCCTCGACCCCCAGCCGCGGCTGGAGACGGGAGTTTGAACGCCCGAAATGGGTGCGGGAAAAATGGGTACAATGCCCAACAACAAATGTTGTCCCAAACCAACAGCGGTCGCTGTTGGGCCCCCGCGACGGTCGAGAACGGAGGAGGAGGAGGGGGAGGAGGAGGAGGAGGAGGAGGAGGAGGAGGAGGAGGAGGAGAGGAGGAGGAGAAGGTGAGAGGAGGAGGAGGGAGGAGGAGGAGGAGGAGGAGGGTGGAGGAGGAGGAGGAGGATGGAGGAGGTGGTGGTGCGCGGCGCCCCTCGTGCGCGCCTCGACCCCCATCCGCGGCTGGAGGGAGGGAGGGGGCCAAAGAGAGGGGAGCCGGCGAGGAGGCGTGGAGGGGACTGCGCCCGGATATCCGACCGTCTGCCCTTGTCAAGTCCCACGACGAGGCCTCCTCCTTCTCCTCCTCCTCCTCATCATCCTCCTCCTTCTCCTCCTCCTCCTCTTCCTCCTCTTCCTCCTCCTCCTCCTCCTCCTCCTCCTCCTCCTCTCACTCCTCCTCCTCCTCCTCCTCCTCCTCCTCCTCCTCCTCCTCTGCGGGTGGAGGGGGGAACAACGACCCCCGCAGGTGGAGTTGGGAGCTCTGGGGCCGCGCACCGAACAGGTCACGCCGTCGGACGTCTGCTTCGGACTCCCCCACAGGAGGCGAGCTCGAGCTGCGATGCCGCGGTGCCGTGCCACGCGCGCGCCTGCAGCTGCACCACGCGGCGCCAGGAAGTCAGGCCCCTCGAGGCGAGGCAGGACGCTGGGCACGAACCAGGCGGCGGCCCCTCGACATGATCGCTGAGCGCCAACACAGCGTCGCACATGTGAGGAGGCCGATGAGGCACCGACGACTCGCTGCAGTGCGCAGTGCCTGCAGCTTGGCCTGGTGCCCTGAGCGGATTGGCGAATAGAGGATGACAATGGTGAGGAGGGAGGAAGGAGGAGCAGCAAGGGGATCAACCGTTCCATCAAACGGATGGGCTCAGATGGGACGTATCTTGATTACAAAATGCAGAAACAGCTTAATGCTGCCTTTGTGCGCCGCCGTGCCGTGGGCACTCCGTGTGGTGTCAGGTCGCTCCCAGCTCTCTGTCTTGAATACTCTGGATCCGCCACCGTGACGTCGGCACTGAATGGTCCTCAGGCCCAAGGGGCCCCGATCCCCAATTGTCGGGTTTCTTGGGGCGGTTCTGTCCGAGGTCTGCAGACTCCATGCGCAGAGGGTACCCAAAGAGGGCCCCGGGACAGTCCAGAAGGCCCCGGTACGGTCCCAGAGCGCTCCGAGAAGCCCCAAGAGGGCGCCAAGAGGAGTCCCAAGCGGACGCCAGGGGCCAGGAGGAGGAGGAGGAGGAGGAGGAGATCGAACGAGTTTAGCGGTCGTGCCTCCTCGGGCTTTCAACGCACCAGAACGTGCCCAAGAAACGTCCCCCAGAGGGCGACAAGACGGCCCAGTAGGAGCCTCCCAGAAGGCCATCGGCGGGCCCCTGAGAGGCCTTCCTTCCTTCTCCTCGGCTTCCTCCTCTCTTTCTCCTCCTCTCGTTTTCCTCCCTCCTCCTTTCCTCTCCTCCCTCTCCTCCATTTCTTATTTCTCCTCCCTCTCCTCCTCTCTTTCTCCCCCCAGCCCACATATTCCTCTAAGGGCTTCCACACAGGCTGGGTGAACATATGGTCCAATAGCTCGGCAAGACTTCGGCCCAACGCTTGGCTACATAGGAAGCGTTTCCAACAGGCAGGGGGGCGCGGTGGTTTGCCGTAGGCGTCTTCGATTACTCTGAATACCTCAATAGTTCTGGGCCCGGACTACAAGGGCCCCGCGGACTACAAGGCCCCCCCCCCCCAACTACAGGGACCCCCCCTCCGGACTACAAGGACCCCCCCCGACTACAAGGGCCCCCCCCGGACTACAGGGACCCCCCCCCGGACTACAAGGACCTCCCGGACCCCCGGGCTACAGCCACCACGCCCAGCACAAGTGCTACGGGATGCCACGGATAGACAATTGCCACGACCCCGAAACAACCAATACGACGACGACGCGACGCCGCCGCCGCCGCCGCCGCCGCCGCCGCCGCCGGGCCGCCGCCGCCGCCGCCGCCGCCGCCGACGACGACGACGACGAGCGCTCAGGGGTCGTCGAGCGGGACGTCGCCCCGCGAAGATCACCGCGTCCCCCCCTCCCTCCCCCCCCGGACTACAGGACCCCCCCTGGCACTACGAGGGTCCCCCCCCCTTGGACTTCAGGGGCCCCCCCACCCCCGGACTACAAGCCCCCCCGGACTGCAGGACCCCCCCCCCCCCGGACTGCAGCCCCCCCCCCCCCAGACTGCGCGACCGGTTGTTACTGTGGCCCGTTGGGTGTTAGTGTGGCCCGTTGGGTGGTAGTGTGGCCCGTCGCGCGGCGGGATGGGAGTTACTGTGGCCCGCGCAGGCCGCTCAATGAAAAGTAAGATGTAAAGGTATCTCATGTTAGATCTGGAGAAATTCGCAACCCTTAAGGGAATGCACTCCCGCGCAGGCAAAAGTGGCCACGGTAACTCCCACCTGGAACCAACGTGGTAGTAGTGCTGTGTTAGTGGTGTGGTGGTCGCTGTGCTGTGTTAGTGGTGTGGTGTTGATAATGTTGTGTTAGTGATGTGGTGTTGGTAGTGGCTGGTTGTGCTGTATGCTGTGGTAGTGGCGTGGTGTTGGTAGTGGTGTGCTGTGTTAGTGGTGTCGTGTTGGTAGTGCTGTGTTAGAAGTGTGGTGTTGGTAGAGTTGTTGAGTTGTTAGTAGGTAGTTGTGTTGTCGTAGTGGCAGTGGTGCTGTGGTAGTGGTGTTGTGGTAGCGGTGTTGTGGTGTTGTGGTTGCGGTATTGTGGTAGCGGTGTTGTGGTGTTGTGGTAGCGGTGTTGTGGTGTTGTGGTACTGGTATTGTGGTAGTGGTGCTGTAGTGTGGTAGTACTATGGTGCTGTAGTGTTGGTGTTAGGTAATATCATTCATAGGGAGTACTAGTCCTACGGAGTACTAGCCGCAGGGAGTGCTAGCCCCAGGGAGTACCAGTCCTAGGAATTACTACCCCTAGGGCGTACTCGTCCAAGGGAGTACTCGTCCTAGGGAGTACTCGCACTACGGAGTACCAGCCCTAGGGAATACTAGTCCTAGGGAGTGCTAGTCCGAGGGAGTGCGAGGAAGTACTGGCGCTAGGGAGTGCTAGCCCTAGGAAGTACTGGCGCTAGGGAGTGCTAGCCCTAGGGCGCTAGGGACGACGAGAATTAGTAGTAGTAGTAGTAGTAGTCGTAGTAGTCGTAGTAGTAGTAGTAGTAGTAGTAGTAGTAGTAGTTGTAGTAGTAGTAGTAGTAGTAGTAGTAGTAGTAGTGGTAGTAGTAGTAGTAGTAGTAGTAGTAGTAGTAGTAGTAGTAGTAGTAGTAGTAGTAGTACTAGTAGTAGTAGTCGTAGTCGTAGTCGTAGTCGTAGTCGTAGTCGTAGTCGTAGTCGTAGTCGTAGTAGTTCGGAGAGCCCAAGAGGCTCTTCGGAGAGCCCAAGAAGCGCTTCGGATGCCCCAAGAAGGTCTTCGAAGGCCCCACGAGGCTCTTCGGAGAGCCCACGAGGCTCTCAGGCGGGTGCAAGAAGGTCTTCGGCGGCTCCAAGAGGCTCTTCGGAGAGCACCAGAGGCTCTTCCGACAGGCTCTTCGGTGAAGGGGGGGGGGGCGGAGCCTTTCTGGACCCCCCGCCCCTCACCGTACGCGATAATCAGTACACTCCGGAGGACCCCTGGCCATACTAACACCCACCGGACCGCAGTAACAGCCAACGGGCCGCAGCAACACCTCATCTCCCAGACTGCAGAGCCCCCCCTGACTATGGGTCACCCCAGATCTGATGAGGTACCCAAGAGTACTGCCATGAACGCATCCTTCGGAACGTCCTGGAACAAAAACAAATCGGAAAACGGCGGCGAACGGGGCAGGCCCGGAAGTAGCCTCGATCCCGTGGCAGCTTTGCTCTGCGTCCTTGCCCACAGATGTGGACAGGACGCGCCCTTCGAGCTCGAAGCGCGCGACATAGTCTGCTCTAAGCGAAAGGCGCTGAAGTACGCAGCAAACGCCACAATGTAATTAGGGCATGCAAAGCGCGGGCCGCCCCACCATGGAGCCCGAGCGATGAGACATCGCAGGCCACCAGGCGTACGAGAAGTAGTTGACAGCAAGTGGCAAGACCAGCACCAACTGCCAGGCCCTGCGCGCGCAGTCTGACCGGCCGATGCTGCTCACGGCCCCGGAGAAGTCACGGCCCCTCCAATTGATCTCCTTCGCCGCACCGTGCCAGTCGACCTCCCGAGCCCACGTCGCCGGGGGGTACGCCTATCAGGAGCGTGCGCGCGGCGAGGAATAATTCCGAAGCAGGCCTGTGCAAACACGCAGGCCAGGGGGGTCGTGCAGCGCGAGCGCATCCATCGGGTCGACTCTGGCGAACCTCGCAACAACCGCAGTGCAGAGGACGAGGCTGGCCAAGTAGAGGTGGAGGAACATGAGGCACGAGCTCAGGCTACAGACGACGTCTGCCAAGCAGCACACGCGGCAAACCAGTGGCACGACCGCCACGCCGTACACGACGCTGCCGCTCTGGGCTGGCTCCCAGCTGCTCGCCTCTTCGACACTGCCGTAGCTGAATGGGTTGCGAAGCGGCAGCCCGGATCCCTGCGCAGAACTGGGGGCGGCCACACGCATACTTGAACTTGTCGCTGGAGGCGCTCTAGCGCACCTTGCTTGCCCGGCTCTCCAAGAACTCCTTTAGGGGACCATATGCGAACCCTACCCCCCACCCCCACGATTTCTGAAGGGGAGGCTGGGGTTCACTTCGTTCGGGAGCTCGCGAGCGAAGTGAACCCCACCCTCCCCCTTAAAAATCGTGGGGGGTAGGGGTAGGGTTCGCATGTGGCCCCCTATCCTTCACCGAGGGGTCGCTGCACATCATCTCCAGCCGCTGCTGCGCTGCCTCCAGCTGCTGGTGTACTCCACCTCCTGCCGCCCGCTCGACTTCCAGGAGCTGGGGCCGTGCTTCGGGTGCAGGCCGCCGTACTCCGCCCACGGCGCGCTGTTTGCATCGAGCGCGGGTCGCCCACAGCGCGGTGTTCGCATCTTCCTCCTCGCGGACCTGCTCCCGGAGCTCGCCCAAGGTCCTCTCGGGCCCCGCGGCGAGGCTCGCCCTCTCCGTCAGGGCGGCGCCCTTCTTCGAGTTGTCGCCTCCCAGCTGCGTCAGGCGACCTCCGGCGCCGGTGAGCTCGGCCAGAGCTGGCAAGATCTGGCCCAGGAGCCCCTGCTTGGAGGCGGCTGGGGGATCGAACTGGATGGAACCCCAGAAAATCGGTCAAAGGTTAAGTCGGGCCTGTCCCCCAACGGGGGGGGTTTTGGACGAAACATGAAACATATTCAAAAATACTACAAACATGCTCAAGAATACTCCAAAAATAGTCCCCATACTATTTTTTGACTATGTTTGAATATTCCTCCTGTAGGGGACAGACCCGACTTACGTCTAGCTGGTGCAGTTTGTCACCCCGGATCCGTTTTACCTTGTCCAGGGGCCCGTAAACGGCCCCAGGCAGCCGCAAAAGCAGCGCCTAGATGTCACGAGCCCCAAACCTCGGACCTGCCCGCCATTCATGCCGGCCAGAATCAGTGCTGGGCCACCTCAAACCCCCAGACGGCTCAGAGTTCCTGCCGCTGCGGACTCTTCAGGCAGGCTGCGACTGCCCCTGGCGGGCAGCCGACCCGAGCAGGGCGGCGGTCAGGAGCAGCGCCAGCCGCCGCGCCGCCATCGTGCCGACGGGGGCGCGCAGCAGGGCCGGGAAAGTGGAGGGGAGGAAAACGGTGACCATGACCAAGACTGAACACGGCAACGTCGTGCCGACCTTGTTGAAGGGGCCCTGGGACACACAAATAAATACACACAAATAAAAATGTTCCCCATATTTTCCCATATTTTCTGGGTTTTTGTCTTCCCGCCCACTTCCCATATTTTCCCATATTTTCCTGGGAGTGGACGATTAATTGTGTTTGTGTGTTTTTTCCCCTCCTGACTTGTTCACCGCCAATCTTGGCCAACGTCACTTCGTGGACCATCCTCGCGAACCGGCGACGGCCGACGTGCACCGTGACCGAGATCGGCATCGACAAGATTGAAGGGGAACTGGGACACACAAATAAATACACACAAATAAAAATATCCCCATATTTTCCTATATTTTTTGTTTTTTTGTCTTCCCGCCCACTTCCCATATTTTCCCATATTTTCTGGGAATCGCCGATTAATTGTGTCTGTGTGTTTTTTCCCCTCCTGAAAGATACCGCGACATTTTGGCCATGGTCCCCGTGCTTCTCCCCTCGAGAAAGGGGCCCGGCGTGGCCCGAGGCGCCGCCGGCTTTCCGAGCGAGCGCCTTTTCTGCGCCTCCCGGGGGCCCACCGGCGGCGGGGCCTCGTGCCGCGGCGGCTTCTGCGCGGGGCCGCGCCGACACGGCGCGGAGCGCTCCGCCGGGAACGATCTCTCGCGGCTCTCCGGCAGCGCGAGCCGCTTGATGTCAGCCCACTACAGGCTGAGGACACCTAGAAAGGGGCCCCAGGACACACAAGTAAATACACACGACTAAAAATATTCTCCATATGTCGAATATGTTCTGGGTTTTGGTCTTCCCCCCCACTTCCCATAGTTTCCCACATTTTCAGGGGAATCGACGATTCATTGTGTCTGTGTGTTTTTTTCCCTCCTGATAGACGGGGTCGGAGTAAATGGGGTCGGAGGATCGCGCCGCATCGCCGGTGCATCGACGATGCGTCGGCGATGCATCGGCGATGCATCAGGGATGCACCGGCGACGCATCGTCGACGTCGGCGGTGCACCGGCGACGTCGGCGTGGAGAAATCGAGCTCCACATCGAGCCGCATCGCCGATGCATCGGCGATACGGCGCGATCCTCCGACCCCATCTACTCGGACCCCGTCTACGAGGACTAGCTGCTGGCGGCAATCAATCTCGAAAGACCGCGCCGGGGTCGCCAACGCGTCGGCGCGGCGCGAAACTACCGTAGGTCTCGTGGTGGGTCGGCGTCTGGAATCGTTTAGTATCTATTTGTAGGGGGGGGCTACCATTTCCGGGGCCGCTCGGGGGGGGGGAGGGGGAGGTTCTGCTATTGGGGGAGCGGCAAGGCGGCCCAAGAGAGCTCCTACACGCCCGAGATGGCCCCAAAACGGACCAAGAGGTTCCCAAGAGGACCAAGAGCGCGCTAAGAGGACCCCCAAGAGGGCCCCAAGAGGCACACATCATTTACTTCCGTGGGCTTTTTCATGTGGCTTTGAGGTTCTCGCCTTTTCGAAGTTCCGACGCTCCAGGACGGCCCAAGAGGCCCCCAACCCCGCCCCACGACAAACCCAGAGGCCCCCAATAATACTCCACGACAGCCCAGCCCGGAAGCGGCCCAAGGGGCGCCCAAGACGGGCAGGGGCCAGGGGAAAGCCAGAGGGGGCGGGGGCCAGGGCCAGGGGGGGCCAGGGGCGCTGGGGCCAGGGCGAAGAGCCAGGGGGGCTGGGGCCAGGTCCAGGGACGAACGACGAGCGACCGACGAAGGTATAGAGATCCGGAACCAGAAAAACAAGAGCCAGGGCCAGGGGGCGAAGGGCAGGGGCCAGGGGAAAGCCAGGGGGGGCGTGGGCCAGGGCCAGGGGGCCCAGTGGGGCTGGGGCCAGGGCGAGGGACGAACGACGAACGAGCGGGGCCAGGTCGAGGGACGGACGATGAACGAGCGACGAAAACAAGGAGGTCCGCCTCCTCCTCCTCCTCCTCCTCCTCCTCCTCCTCCTCCTCCTCCTCCTCCTCCTCCTCCTCCTCCTCCTCCTCCTCCTCCTCCCCCCTCTTCCTACTCCCCCCCTCCTCCTCCCCCCCCTCCTCCCCCCCCCTCTCATCCTCCTCTGTCTCCTCCTCCTCCTCCTCCTCCTCCTCCTCCATGTACAGCAGGCGAGCCCAGGCAGTGGCCCGTCCTGGCCCCCCGTGCGCGCGCCAACCCCCCACATTCTGTGGGGGGTGGCGCACGCACGGCATGACTGTTCCCTGAGGTCCGACGCTGCGGAACACGAATCAAAACATCGCGACACGTCCCGAACGGCGTCCCCGACCCTAGATGTCTGCCGCACCTGTGGAAAGCCGGACCGATCCGTGGTGCTCCCGGAGGACGAGATCGAGCGAGAGCGCCCACAGCGCGAGAAAAAAAAAGGTGCAGCGCCCGGATCGCCAAGGCTGGGCACAACAAATCCGACCTGGAAGCCCGTGCGCAAAAGGCCGCCCTCGCCCACCCCACTCCTGGGACGGCGCCTGGCCGGAGGGCCCCGCGGTTGGGCGCAGGTGGCGGCAGCCAAACCCTGCCCCGCCCACCATCGGCTCTCCTGAACCGATGGGAGGCAAGGGTAGGGTTCGGACTTAGCTACGTGCTCGACGAACTCCGAGCCCTACTGTTTGATACCTTCGGGTAGCGTGTCGACACGGTCGCCCTGGCGACACCAGTCCACCTTGCGAGCGGATAGCGTGTCGCTCCGCTCCGCGGGGCGGGAGGCTCGGAAACGTGGACGCCTGGGGTCTGGGAAGTGGACAGCATGCCGTGCCGAAGCGCGGTGGGCCAGAACTGGCGGAGCGACATGCTATCCAAACGTTCCCGACCGTATGGGTCGGACCTCGCCATGTGTTCGACGAACTCCGAACCTTACAACTGCGCCCATCGAGCTGCCTGAATCGGCGGGAGGCCCTCGTGAAGGGCCCAGGTGCTTCCAGGAGGGCCTCCCAAGAAGCCGGGAGGGCCTCCAAGAAGCCTGCCACGAGGCCTCCCGAAACGACCCCAAGCGTCAGAAAACCTCCTCGGGCCTCGATCCTGCAGCCTCGATCCCGAGAAAGAGCGGGTGCTCCTCCTGGTTAGTGGTGAGCCACACTCGGCTATACGCAAGAGTGACCCTGGGTAAGAGTGACCTTTGGTGCGCGACTTTCTGGGGGCCGCGGGGGGGCCAAACCTGGGCGCGCAAGCAGCTGCTACTGCTTCGTGCTCAGCCATCTGGGGACCCATCTGTGCCCGCACCAAAGTTCACTCCGGCGAAAGGTCACTCTTGCGTCTAGTCGACACACCCAGACCCCCGACGTCATGAATTTTTCATGACGCGCCCCCCAGAAGTCTGGACCCCTTCCCCGGGACCGGTTCTTCGTCCTGAGTCGTTTTTTGACGGTCCCGAGGCCCGGGAAGGGCCCCCAGAGGCCGAAAATGGCGAAAAACCTCCCGTCGTGATTTTTTTCACGACGCGAGGGGGTCTGGGTCTTGCGTCGAGTCGACACACATGCGATGCCTTGCTCAGCGCGGCCCTGCGGGAGCCTCGACCCTTCCACCCCCGGGGGCGGGCTGCGCCTCCCGAGCTCGTCTCTCTCTGTGGACGGCCCTGGAGCCCGGCGAGGGCCCCCAAACGCCCAAGACGCCCCAAAGCCTCTGCTGTGATCTTTGCCCCCGCGTGGGGAGTTCGGGCCCCCCTCTTGAGCAGCGACCGACCGTCCCGGCCGTCCTATAGTCCTACCACAAAGCGCTCTTATAGAGCCCAAACACGTTCTCAGAACAGAAACAGTGCTCATGAGAACTGGAAGCCCTGTGTGATACAGCAAGACAGACTCCGCCAGAAAGGTTCTAAGAACATCCCGTGGGAACCACAGAAGGTTCTTGGAACATTGTTTGGTAGGGCTATAGGCACGCCAGGACGCTTCGCCACTGCTTGACCCTTGGCTGCCCGAGTCGCCGCCGTCGCCGCCGCGCCCCCCGGCGCGACCGCGAGGAGAAGCCGCTCTCGAGCTCGTGCCCCTGGCGCTGGCGGGCACTGCCAGCCGGGCGAGCGCCGACGCGGCCTCCGAGGACACCGACCGGCTCAGGCGCCTGGCGGGGGGGAGCCCAGAAGCTGCGCCGGACCAGAATTCCCGACGGTCTGCTTTTTTCACATCCGGGCGTTTTCCCTCTCTTTCGCTCCCTCTCCCTCCTCCTCCTCCTCCTCCTCCGCCTCCTCCTCCTACTCCTCCTCCTCCTCCTCCTCCACCTCCTCCCCCTCCTCCTCCGCCTCCTCCTCCTACCCTCGAGGCCACCAGGCATGGATCCGAAACGAAAACCGAGCCCCGGGGCGAGCGGTCGGGACCTCACGGGGCCGCGGCTGAAAACAGAGATCACGACGGACGGCTATTGGCTGCTTTCGGACTCCTATAGTCGAAATCTATAGTAAGGACGGGTGGTAAGGATGCAAGGCGCAAGGGCCTAGGACGCCGAAGTTGGCACTTGTTAGGCGGTGGACTGCCAACACCCTGAAGAGCTGGCCAGTGAAAACTACGAAGGACGGGCCGCAGAGGCAAGGACGCAAGGGTACCCTGAGGACATCCGTGCGTCCTCATTGTGAGTTCTCACTGTAGGCGCTCTCAAAGGGGCGCAGGGCAGTCAAAAAGCGCGGGACGAAACACCGACCCTGAGGAGAAGGTCGGGACTTCCGGTGACTCCGCATTTGGGGGTCGGTTCTTGGACCGCCATTCTGGAGGTCCCGAAGCAGACCCTACGATCATGGAAGAGCGGCCTCCGTTTTGGAGGTCAAAAACCACCTGTCTGATGGTTTTGGATCCTCTGGGGAGACCTCGCCAGTCTGGGCCAGAAGCTGCGCCACGAGGGCGTCAGCTCCTCGATCCCCCGGGGCCCGGGCTGCTCCCTTCGCGTGCCTCCTCGGTCCGCGGGGCCCGCCTGCTGCTTCCGGCCTTCGATCTCCTGGAGGCTCGGCGTGCTGCTCTCCTTGCTCTCCCCTCGGCCCTCGAGAAACCTCTGGGGGGCCTCTGGAGGGTGCCCTGGAGACAGGGGCGGCAGCATGCTTCTCCAGGACGGCCCCGGCGGAGGAGCCGCTGGCATTCCCGAGCATGGAGGGGCAAGCAATGACATAGACATTCAAGAACAAACTCAGAGGTCCGCGAGGGTTCCTCGGATCGGCGCTGGACCCCCCTCCCAGGCGTGTGGAGCGCGCCAGGGGCGGCGCCGGAGGCGCCGCCAGGGGGCCCCAGCGCCGATCTCAAAAAACCGCGCGGTCCTCCGAGTTGTTTATGCTTATGTCATTGCTGGTGCCCGAAGACAAACCGCGGCATCAGTTACTGCCCGCAGGTCCGCCCCGACCAGTGGCGTCTGGACTGCAGGCCGCGGGCGCAAGGGTACCCATGGAGGACGGCATGTCCTCATCCTCCCATCATCTGTCCTCGCGCACTTGCTCATCCTGATCGTCTTCACCCCCACAGGCGCAGCAGGTCAGCGCATTCAGAGTGAAGTTTGTCTCAGCAGCGGGCCTTCCTCGGCGGTGGCGTGGGGTGTGCAGCGTGGGGGCCGTGCCGACCAAACTGTATGCCCTGGAAGATACATCTCGCCTTGTCCCCTCCTCCGTCCCTCAGCTTACTATCTCCCAACGCCCTTCTTTCCCTTCTGCTTCCTCCTCCTCCTCCTCCTCCTCCTCCTCCTCCTCCTCCTCCTCCTCCTCCTCCCCCCCTCTCGCGCTGCGCTCAGCACCAGCCCTGACACTCAGCGCGTCTGGCCCGGGACCGCGGCGCCACGCTCGAGTCGGGCGCGTCCCCCGACAAGGGGATCTTGGACCACAAGTCCACAGGAAAGACCCCCAGCTTGTCAAGACCTGTTCGAACAATCTTCCCCACACGATTGTTTAAAAAACTATGCTTGAATACTCCTCCCGTAGAGGGGCAACAGGAAGACCCCCAGCTTGTCAAAAATTATTCAAACAATCTTCCCCACACGATTGCTTAAAAACTATGTTTGAATGTTCCC